CGCGGCCTCCAGCCCCCCCACGGGCGCACCCGGGGGTCGGGCCAGTTCCGGCGAGGGGTGCGGGGCCGGGCCTCTCTCTGGGGCTGGGGGCTCGGGGGGCGCGCGAGAAACCTTCGAGGCGCAGTGCCCCGGGAAGGGGTCCTGCGCCTCGAGGTTGGGGTGGCAGGCCCCTGCACACAGCTGTCCCCTCGGGAGTGCCCTGTGGGTCGTTCGGGCCGTCCTCGAGGCGCGAGCGAGGGCCCGGACACGCAGCAGCAACAGCTGCCCCTGCGCCACGAGGGGCCCAGGAGGCCCAAGCAAGCGCCCCCAGAAGTGCCCTTGGGACCACCCTTGTGGCTCCCCGGCCCGCCTCTGGCCGACGGGGGTCCTGACGCTCCCTGCCGCCCCCAGTGCAGGGCTCGAGGCCCGGAAAGAATGTGCAGCTGACAGAGAACGAGATCCGCGGCCTGTGCCTGAAGTCCAGGGAGATTTTCCTGAGCCAGCCCATCCTTCTGGAGCTGGAGGCGCCCCTCAAGATCTGCGGTGAGCCCCTCCCCAGGCCCCTTCGGTTTCCTGAAGCAGCACCCTTCCCTTTCCCATCCCTCCCCCTCAACTCTGGGCCAGTCCAGACCCAGCAGCCAGTACTGACCTGTCCCCGGGCCGCAGGCGACATCCACGGCCAGTACTACGACCTGCTGCGCCTGTTCGAGTACGGCGGCTTCCCTCCGGAGAGCAACTACCTCTTCCTGGGGGACTACGTGGACCGCGGCAAGCAGTCCTTGGAGACCATCTGCCTGCTGCTGGCCTATAAGATCAAGTACCCCGAGAACTTCTTCCTGCTCCGCGGGAACCACGAGTGTGCCAGCATCAACCGCATCTACGGCTTCTACGATGAGTGTGAGTGGCAGTGTCTGGGCAGCCCCGCCCCAGAGGGGCCCCACTCGTCGGGGACCCTCACAGGCCAGGAGCTCTCAGAGGCCATGTCAGTTGTCATCTGCCCGCCTGCCCTGGCACGGGGCCCGGCCCCGGAGCGTCTGCGGTGGCTGCCACCCCGAGCAGGGTCTCCCCCAGTAGCTCTCTTATTAAGGCGCTCGAGGCCCATCTAGACCCAACTGGACTGGACTGGACTGCGCTGCACGGATCTGAGTGGACATAAGCCAGACCCGGCCTTGGCCTGGGTGGGGGTGACAACCTAGGGGATTCCAGAGCTTTGCTCTGGGGCTCCTGTGGACACTGCTGCTGGGACTTCCTTCCCGGCGTGTCTGCATGGTTGAGGTCCCTGGGCAGATGGGTGGGTGCACGGCCTCCTCCCAGCCACCCCTTTCTCTGGGCAGGCAAGAGGCGCTACAACATCAAGCTGTGGAAAACATTCACCGACTGCTTCAACTGCCTGCCCATCGCCGCCATCGTGGACGAGAAGATCTTCTGCTGCCACGGAGGTGAGGGGCTCTGGGCCTGTGCAAGGGCCAGCTGGAGGACCTGTGGCCAGTTGCCTGGGGTCTGGGCTTGGAAGTTGCCTCTTCCAGGCGGCCCACGGCCTGGCCAGGCCGGGCTGGCTCTTGGAGCCTGGCCCTTGTGAAGGGTTCGCTCGGCGCCAGCTCTATCTGCCAGGAGGGGCTTCTGCCGGCCGGGAATCTGGGGCGTGGGGGGCTGTTCTGAGGCCCGTGTGAGGTGGTGACCCGGGCCTCGTCCCTCAGGCCTGTCCCCAGACCTGCAGTCCATGGAGCAGATCAGGCGCATCATGAGGCCCACGGACGTGCCTGACCAGGGGCTGCTGTGTGATCTGCTGTGGTCGGACCCCGACAAGGATGTGCAGGGCTGGGGCGAGAATGACCGTGGCGTCTCCTTCACCTTCGGGGCTGAGGTGGTGGCCAAGTTCCTGCACAAGCACGACCTGGACCTCATTTGCCGGGCGCACCAGGTGGGCTGCCAGTTCTGGTCCTTGGGGGCGGGGATGGGCCCTGGCAGCCGCCCGTTCCCTGACGGCCTCTCTGCTCAGGTGGTAGAGGACGGCTATGAGTTCTTTGCCAAGCGGCAGCTGGTGACACTCTTCTCGGCTCCCAACTACTGTGGCGAGTTTGACAACGCAGGCGCCATGATGAGCGTGGACGAGACGCTGATGTGTTCCTTCCAGGTGGGGCAGGTGGGGGTGGAGCAGGTGGGGGTGGGGCAGACGGGCCTTCCCCTGTATGCTGATTCGGAGACCCTGACTGACCTTGCCTGTTCTAGATCCTCAAGCCCGCCGACAAGAATAAGGGGAAGTACGGGCAGTTCAGCGGCCTGAACCCCGGAGGCCGGCCTATCACCCCACCCCGCAACTCCGCCAAAGCCAAGAAGTAGCCTCCGTGGGCCTGTCCTCTGCCCCTGGTGGTGGACTGTACAGAATCAAGTGGCTATGAGGGCCGCCCACGCTGGCCGCAGGCCCACCTGTCATGGGGAACATGGAACCTTGGTGTATTTTTCTTTTTTTAATGAATCACTAGCAGCATCCAGACCCCCGGGGCCCCTCTGCTGTGCCAGGGGTGGCTGCAAGCAGGGTCCTGGGGCTGAGGCTGCAGCTCAGGGCAAAGCGGGGCCAGATTGTGGGGCTCCAGCCTTGCTCGTCCTTGGGGCTGGCAGCCGGCTCCTGGGGCAACCCATCTGGTCTCTTGAATAAAGGTCAAAGCTGGATTCTTGCCACGGCCTCTGTCTCCCTTGTCCCAGACTCTGGGCCGACAGCCCTTCTGCCCGGAGCCACTTGGGAAAGGCAGGCCTGGAGGCACGGGGCCAGAGGCTCGGAATTGTGACAGGGCACACGAGCATCAGGAAAGCAGCCGCCTGCGCCACCTCAGACCACAGAGGCGTGCCCGGGACTTGTGGGGTCAGGTCACTCCTGGCAGGAGGCGGATCACTGATTTTGTTTCCTAACAGGTGAGCTGAGAGGAAGCAGAGCCCAGCCCCAGCCACAGGCTGAGGCCCTTTGTTCAGACATGATTAGTTGGGAGAAGGGGAAAGGCCCAGGCGGCCACAGCTGGGGGCTGGGGCTAGCCAAGACCAGCTAGCTGAGCGCCAGTCCGGCCCACTGTACCCCGCCAGGGCACAGGAGCCGGGTGGGGGGTGGCTGCCGGTCCACCTACTCCGGGGCCTCGACAGGCGGTTCTCAGCTCAGCCTTCGCCCTCACTGTCTTCGGCCAGCACCGGGCTGGGGCCCTGGGGAGAAAGCGCTGGGGCCAGGATGGAGCCAAAGAACAGGGAGCGGAACTGGAAGAACAAAGGCTGAGTGAGTGGGGAGGCTGCGCCCGGCCCCCACCCTGCCTCGGCCTCCAGCCCTACCTTCTTGGGGGGGGGCGTCCCGGGCACTGTACTGGGTTCAGCTTCCTCGTCTTCATCGTCCTTCTCAGAGTGGGGGCCCGATGGGGCACCGACGGGGGGCAGCACTCGAGAGCTCTCGCTGCCCAGAGTGGTCTCCATGGCAATCATGTAGGAGTCGATGTCATCATTAGCAAAGTCGTCCGGGGGGGGCATACTGCGGGCAGAGACCGAGTCGGTGACTAAGCAGGAGACGGAGCACAGAGGAGCCCACCTTGGAGGACTGGGGTCTCCTGACCACTCCTGATTTCTGGATTTTATTACTTCCTGGTTTCTTTGGAGGGGAGGATGTAGGGGTTAAGTAGTGGCTTCCTGGAGGGGGTGGGCTGGAGTCCTTTGATGGAGTTCAGGTAGAGGCCAGTTTCCTCAGCAGCACGTCCACTGAGTGGGGTGTCTGGGGTCCAAGCCCCACCTCCCCAGGGCGCAGGAATTGGAGAGCTCTGGGGCCCAGGGACGGGCTGGGCGGGGGGCCAGACCCAGCTTCCTCTGCTTCAGCTAGGCTGGGCCCATCCTCCCCAGCCCACCTGCCCTTGCAGCCACCTGCTCCCCCCACCCCAGCAACCCCTTCCCTCCTTGGCCTGGGAGGAGGCTCAGAGGGGGGGGCCTCGGGCCCCTGCCAGAGAAGGAAGCCAGCCCCACCTTGGGGACACTTTCCTGGGCGGAGGGTTCTCTGAGCACAGCTGACCGGGAAGGCTGGGCCTGTGGGGCTGGAAGCTGAGGACCCGAGGGGCTGGGCGGGCAGGAAGTGTGCTTGGGGGGCTGGAAGCCGCAGGCTGGGGGTGGGGGTGTGCTCACCTGTGAGCCGGGAGCCGAGGCGCCGGCCTGCGGAGCTCAGAGAAGTGCAAGTTCTGGGCTGGCGGGTCCAGCTCTGAGAGCGTGGCCAGGACAAAGTGGCCATCTAGCAGAGAGTCCGCAATGGTGAAGATGGCTGGCCTGGAGGGACGACGGGCAGGCAGGGTCAGAGCCCTCTGGCCTCCGGCCCCCCCGCAGCTCCCTCAACCCATACTGGGAATTACCTGCCCGGAGTATCAAAGTGAACACTAAGGGGCAAGTTTGCCGACTCTGCAAAGCTCAGGAGCCCCTGCAGGAGACAGGCAGAGGGTAAGGCCAGGCAGGTAGGGAGGACAGGGTGGGGGAGCCGGGGGAGCCTCACCCGGAATTCCTTGAGGCAGAAAGTGATGGCCACCCCTTCTTGGGCCTGCAGCTGCTGGAAATCCTCCTCCCCGAGGCTCAGTTCGGTCACCATGGCTTTGACGGTGCTGTCTGGGGAGCAGAGCCACGTGGCGGGGGCCCGACCTCCCTCCCACCCGCTCTGCCCCTGTCCCAGCCAAGTCCGGCCTCACCTGCCTCCTCCTCCTGGTAGCTGCGCAGAATGACCCTGCGGCCGCGGCCGATGCCCAGCGTCACTTCGGCCAGTGTAGGGGGAAAGGGCAGAACGGCCTCAGCCAGGACCCTACAGGGAGGGCCCAGTGTCACAGCCAGGCCACCCTGCCCCGCGCTCGGTCTCAGGTTCTGTGACCGGGTCACGTTCTAGGAGAATGGCCGTGGGCAGGCCGAGGCCCCGGGAGGAGGCCCGGGTAAGCGGGACAGGCCCTGCCCCAGCAAAGCTCCCAGGCTGCTGGGGGGGGGGAAGTCCACGGCCAGGGCTGGGTGGGTGGGCGCTCCCAAGACGCCAGCAACAGACCTGGGGGGGGGGGCTCCACAGCCCCTCGGATGCTGCCTCACAAAAGGCCTTCAATCCTTGTAGGGAAGCACAGTGATAAATATTTACAGATGAAATGTCAGCTGGAATTTGCCTCAAGACAAATGGAGCAGAGCTGGCATCTGCTTTTATATGTAAGTGAAACTGTCTCTGAGGAAGAGGAAAAGTTGCTCGCTGGAGCGGAGAGGGAGCTCCAAGTCCAGCAGGCAACGGTCTCCCTCCTCTACCCACCGCTGCCCCAACAGAACCAGAAACGACTGGGCCCTTCAGTCACTGCATCCTAAAAGCTGAGCAAGCCCCAGCCCACCCGAGGGCTGCGTGAGGCCCGGAGAGCCCCCTGTAGGCCCAGGCCTGGCACCACTGCCCGGAGAGCCCCCTGTAGGCCCAGGCCTGGCACCACTGCCCCACTGCCACGCTGCCCCTCAGTGCCCGCCTGTCCCGAATGGCTGCGTCCCAGCAGGGCTCACTGGCACAGCCCTTCTCGAGCAGGACCGTCTGCCCGGCTGGGCTCCTCAAGGGTGCAGTGCGGGTGGGAGAGGCTGCCCTTACCGGGGAGCACCCCAGAACGATGAGGGGCCAGAGGTGCACTTTCGTATCTAAGCCACTGACACTAAAAAGGGAACCTTGAAGCTGTGCAAGTCTGAGGATCTTTGAAGGCAGCCAGGGACCTGCCCTCAGGGCCTCCCTGGTGGCACAGGGTCAAGTCTCAGCACTGTGAAGCTACCCCAGGGGCTCAGCCTGAGTTCAATCCCCGGCCAGGGAGTGACCACAGAGCACAGCAGACCCCTCCTATGTCCCCACTGCTCCCCTCGGCAGTGTGACTGAGTCGATCTGCCTGCTATGCTCCCCATTGTCTCTGGGGAATCCTCTCACCCCCACACCTCTGGCCTATACCCCAATTCTTGTACACAGAAATACATTTTTACAAAGAAAGGTCTGAGAGGCTTGAGGCGGAGCAGACAGGCTGGGGTTAAAGCCCCTCCACCCTGCCTCTGCCCAGAGCGCCCTCTGGGCGGGGTGACCTGCGGCTCACAGCCCTGCAGGAGAGTGAAGGCGCTGCCTTCTCGAGTCCAAGCTCGCGGCCTGAGACCCAGGGCTCGCTGGCGGCGGGCTGTGCTCACCTGGCTGGGGCGCGGAGCACGTGGGGGCACACAGCGGGGTCGAAGACAGCCTGCAGGGACTCGCAGTCCTGGAAGGACAGGTTGTGAGTCTTCCTCACCCCTGGATGGACAGACAGTCTCAGTGGGCCTCAGGGCCTCCAGCCCGCCGCCGGCACCCCTGGGCTGGCCAGCTGCCACTCACCATACTTGCAGTGCAGCTGGACCACAAGGCGGCTGCCCCTGCCGTTCAGGGAGATGCAGCACTTGTCCACAGTCTTCTCCAGCAAGGCCAGCGAGCGGAAGATGGACAGGAAGGACTGGGGGGAGATGTCGGCTGGGTGCTGCAAGCCTCCTGGCCCAGTGGGCCCCGGCCCCTGTGCCCTCGGCCCCATGGCCCAGGAGGGAGCCCCCGCCGCTGCCGATAGCGACAGCCTCCAGGCCCTCGCTCTCACCTCCATGCATCTGGCCCGCCTGCAAAGGCCGCTCGCCTGGCCGGGCCCGGCTCCTAGTCCCTACACTCCGCAGGACCTGCAGAGCCCTGCATCTGGCCACAGCTCCACCACCCGCTGCCTCTCCCTGCAGCCTGCCCTGGGTCAGCCCTGCACACCGCTCCCCAGTTAGCATCTCATAGCGGCCGGGGGCAGGCCCTGTGGTGGAGGTTCCTGGAGGGTGCCGTGGGGCCGCTGAGGGGGCCTCACCTTCATCAGGATCTTGCAGCGCAAGGGGTCTTGCCCCGGGGTGGCCGCCTGGTACTGCTCGAAGAACAGCGGGGCGAAGAGGAAGCAAGCATAGGCCGAGCGGGAGGAGTTCACAGTCCGGAGGGACAGCTGGGCCGGTGCAGGCCAGGGGAGGGCAGCGTCAGGGGCAGGGCCCGCCTGGTGAGGCGCCTCCAGCACAGGGCCTGCCCCAGGCCTCGCACTGCTGCACAGCCTGAGCACCCAGGCCAGCCCCGGCGCCGCGGGGCACGAGAGGGCCACTGCTCGCAACTGCGCGGGCCTGGGGGGTGCCGGGTGACACTGACGCACACCCCCACCCGGCGGCGGACCCAGGGCAGACCCGGCGGCCGCCTGCGGGGAGCTGGGGCCAGGCCGGGCCAGGGGTCCCTGCCCGCGCCCCCACCCCAACCCCTCAGCCCAGCCCCTCACCCCGTCTTCCAGGGGCTCCAGGTAGAGCTCGTCCCCCATCCGCGACAGGGAGTGGACGGCCTTGCCGAGCACTGCGGGCAGAGAGAGCGCGGTCAGGCGGCGCCGCCGGCC